CAGGAAATCCTTTGTTGAATTATAGCTCTTTAACTTGTTGTAACTTCAAGGGGAGAGATAAGGGGGACCTCTTATGCTGTCATGCTTCTGATGTCCAATTGCACATTTTATATGATTCCATTTTCTCCTCTCTCTTTGAATGCCAATTATATTTTTTAAAATTTTAAGCCAGTTGCCCTAGAATTTACAATATATATTTATAATTGATTTAGTTATAATCTAACTTGATTTAGACTAAACTAACTGAACTAAAATAGAAGAAACTAATCTAGTTTGAAAGTTTTTTTAAGGTTACCTGGGATTTGTTCACATCCGGGTGGAAAGACATCCGGACATGGAAATGACTGTCATGCAGGAAGAAGTTTATCATACTAATAGTTCCCTAGAAAAGGAAGCATGCCATGCCATGCAGGGGCCACATGAGAAAGCACTAGAGTTGGTCAGGAAGCAAGGGAGGAAGCGGAAACCATGGGCAAGAACCACTATTTTGTTTTCCTTAGAAAGGAATGGTCAAGGCAGGGTAAGCAGGCCTAGGATTGGCTAGTTTGAAAAATTTCAGCAAATTCCGATGCATAGAGGCTGTCCCTAATTGTCTGATGCTTGGCACTGGTGTGATTTCAGCAGGTGGGTAATGACCTGGAGTACGTAAACCTGATAAAGGAGGTAGTAGGATATATGGACTCTGGATTGATTGCTTTGTATATGGAAAGTGTACTTGCAGGTGAGTTTTTTTTTTATTATCTAAAGGAATTGGGTAACTTTAGGAGGGGCAGTCCTCTAGGTTTTGCAAGGCCTCAGATATCAAAGCATCAGAATACAGAAAATAAAAGACATCATTAAATCAATAGCTTTGTTGATATATTATTGAATCTTTGGGGTAATAAAAGAGGAGACTTTTAGAGAATAGGGCATAAAATGTACTAAACAGCGAAGAAAATGTTTTATTATGAGAGTGAAAAGGAGAAAGTTTAAGGAATCTTTTTAGGCCAACCTGTAACTAAATTTCCCATTTACACAATATTAGCTAGCGAAATAGATCTGAAATTTCTGTGGTCTCTAACAGTATTGTTGCGGAGTTATAAATTGTGTTAAAAAACTATACATATACACATATATATATAATTATAT